ACGCAGGCCTCTCACTGCTGTGGCCTCTCCCGTTGCGGAGCACAGGCTCCGTACGCGCAGGCTCAGCGGCCATGACCCACGGGCCCAGCCGCTCCGTGGCATGCGGGATCCCCCCAGACCGGGGCACGAACCTGCGTCCCCTGCGTCGGCAGGCGGACTCTCAACCGCTGCACCACCAGGGAAGCCCTAGTTATCTATTTTATATAGAGTAGTGTGTATGTGTCAATCCCAATCTCCCAATTTATCCCTCCCCCCCTTACCCCCATAAGTTCATGGACATGATGCTGATGAAAAAAAAAGTTACCTTTTTAATGGCTTCATGATACTCTATTTAAAAATAACAGGTAACTTTTATTACATTCTTGTAGTAGAGCACCATACTCACCAATTGACATTCATTGTCTCACTGAATCTTCACTCAAATCCTACACGGGAGGGTGATTGTGATTCCCATTTGAAAGATGATAGAACTGAAGCCCAGAAAGATGAAGCAATTTGCTCAGCTGACAAAGCTAGCACCTGGTGGAACCAGGATTTGATCCCAGGTCATCTGACACTAAAGCCCACTGCTCCCATTAGGTGTGTGCCATTCATTAGTAAAATTCATTAGTAACCTGGTTGTTGTAGGTTTTTTAAATCTTATTCACTCTAGCATCTAGGTATTTTTCTTATTTATGTTGAAATGATATGCTTTTGTAGAGCAGGAAAGGATCCATCTTGTGTTCTCAGCCTGTCTGTAAAGAAGCAGGAGCTGGGTCAGCTTTACCCCGTATCGTCTACAATCATCAATTACCGATGTGCTTGTGTGTTTCTAAAACAACCTTGAGGTTGCTTGGCTCTGGCGATGGAGCAAAGGACTGATGGATGGGGTTGAGTCGCTGAATTGACTGCCCTTCCCCGTTCCGTATTTATTTGTTTATCTGCCCTCTCCCATCATGACCTACCTGTCTGGGAGTTGGCAGACGGGTAGGGAGGATTTATGGGTGTGCTGCATAGAGTTGTGCCTGGAGTTGAAGGCTCTCGCAACAGCTACCAAAAAATGAAACAGAAAACAAAACCCAAAGTACCCGATAGAGCTCCCAGTACAAATGAGTTTCGGGGTCATTTTAGAGACACGCAAGCACGTCACTGGCCCCACTTCCCTTCTGACAGACTGAGAAGCCAAGACAGATGATGTGCCTGGAAAATTAGTTTTCCGCTGCCACCCTCTCTCCCCGTGGCTGTCTTGCTGCCTTTTGGCACTTGGCTGTCACCTCGATGTTCCGCCTCCTTCCTCTATGCTCTTGACATTCCACTCATCTCCTTTCATTCTGGGGCCTGGCAGTCATATCCTACCTGTGGACAGAGGGAGCCTTCCAGTTTTCAGAGTCTTTTCAGTTTGATCCTCATCAAAGAAGGCTGGCTGCGTGAACCCCATGTGATGGCAAAGGAGAGAGTGGTTGTTAGAAGTCAAGTGACTTATCTAAAGCCATCTGCTAGTAGTTCAACAGATATTTATTGAGTGGTTACTGTGTACAAAGGAAGGGACTGTGGGAAACAGATAATGGGCTCAGGGTCCAGGGGTCACCAGTTATGGATGCCATCTGGGACCAACGTGCCAATATCCTCATTTCTTACCCCCTGTTGTCAGGTCCCATGGAAAAAATGTAGCGTCAGTCAATCGTTTTAAGAGACCAGTATATTGTGCTTGTTGGTTTCTCCTTTACCTTCATTCCCCCATCTGGATATAATCTTCATAGGGTCTCTGCTTTGAGATGTCTGCTTTGTTCGGGTCGTTCCTTCACCGATTCTGTCATTCAACATAGCACCAGCTATGTGCCAGGCACTGTCTTAGGCACTTGGAAGAAAGAATAGGAAAAAAGCAGCTAGAATTCCTGCCTTCCTGGGACTTATAGTCTAGCTAGAGCCTCAGATATTAACTAAATAGTCACAGAGACAAATGACAAATGGCAGCCGTGGAAGGGCTTTGGGAGAAAGGGATATGGTGCTGAGAGCTTATAACGGGGGCCTGCTACAGGTCTGTGGGACACTGGTATGGACAAATGGGAGGAGGGTATGGCTTCATCATTGATTGAATGTTTTTGAGTCACCTCTGATAGTCGTTAGCGCTGGCAACAAAGAATTAACCCCTTTGCATCCCTGCCACCATCATCACTCGCCTGTGCCCATAAGGTGTCTCTCAGCTGGCCTCCTGCCTATTCTCTTGTCCTCTTCAGGTCTGTTTTCCACATTAAAGCCAGAGAATGTGAACTTGATTGTGTCATGTCCCAGCTTAAAGCCTTCAATGGCTTCCCAGTGCCCTTCAGATGAAAACTAATGTTCTTAATGGGGCCTCCCATGCCCTTGGCCATCTGACCCCTTCTGCCCATCTTATACTGGTCATTCTCCTACCCCTCACTGCCCCAGCCATACTGGCTTCTCCTCAGTGTACTTACACATATTGTTCCTTCTTTCACTCTTTTCCTACCCATCTTTCACATTTCATGTCTCCTCCAGGAAGGCTTTCCTAACTGCATATTGGAATATATTCCTGGCTACGGGCACCCATGAACCTGTGTATTTTCCCTTGGCTAGCACTTGTCCCAGATTGTAATGATGTCTGTATGGGATGATTAGGATGATGTCATGGAGACACGAAGGCTGGATCAGCATCTGTTTTGCTCCCCACTGTAACCCTGGCGGCTGGCACGTGCCTTCCCCCAGTGAGTGTCCAAAGAAAGGGTGAATGGCCTCATGGAGAAGGGTATAAACATTACAGCTGAAAAGACAAGCTCAGACTTTTATAGTTCAACTCCCTCAGTGTACAGAAAAGAAGTTAGAGGATCAGAGAAAGGAGGTAACTTGCCCGAGGTCGCACAGCAAGTTAGGGGCAGAGCTGGCCTGGGATCATGGTTTACAAGTCTTGTCACAATGTTACACTGCCTCTCCAGAAACTTCCTCTTTTGCTTCACAACTTTGATGTTCTTTGAGATCTAGACCTATAGCTGAGGCACAGTGTGTCACATGGAGAAACTACCTGCATTAAGCATTACAGATTTTCGGGTGAATTCCTAGCTCATTGAAGCTCGTAAGGCCTGAGGATTCATTTGAAACTTTTTTTTTCTATAATTGATTTTTAAATGAACTCTAAGGTCTCAACTGAGTACCAGTTCCCAGGCACAGTGGAGCTGGCCATGGCCTCTAGCCTGTGAGGCAAACCCTCAGCCCCGCTTCTCTCTAAATTAGTTCATTCAATTGACAATAAATGGAACCCATCTTTCTAACATCTCTCCTCCCCAAGGAAGGCTTTGTGATGGAGCAGGAGGCAATGAGATGCCCCTCAAGCAATTGCCTACCAAAGGCATCCCCTGAAATCTGACAGGGGAGTGAACATTTCTTCCGCCTCTGGAAGGCTATTTATGCACCTACTGAAGTGTGACCAGGACACAGCTCAGAAGTGTCAGACATTTCCTCTTTGTGAATGGGAAGCAGCAGCTTCACTGCCTTGTATGACACCCTAGAACTGTATAGCTTGTATATGCTCCCGAATGGTGGGCACTGGGGTGAAAGCAAACTATTCTTAATGGCTGCTTCATCCCAGGACCCAGGCAGCACCAGCAAAGCAACCAGGGGTTCTCCCACCAGGCAGGTGAGACCCGTAGGAAAGGGAGGAACCAAGGTGAAGTCAAAAGACCGTGAGTTTAGAGTCAGCCAATATGAGTTACCAAGAACAAGTCCCTTCCCCTCTCTGGAGTCTTGGTTTTTCCTTCTACAGAGTGGATCGAGTCTGATACCTTGTCATTCACTCTCAAAGCGCCAGGCTCCCCTGTAGAGATGGATGATATTTGGGGGAACAAGAAAGGCACAGTCCTTGCCCACGTGGAGTTTACATTTGGGGAGGGGAGACAGGCGTTAAATACATATTTACCTAATCCTTGTTCAGTTTTAATTGTGATGAGTATCACTGAGAGGCTAAAATGAGATGTAAATAGTGGACTATGTACTCTGTAAAATGCTGTGTACCAGACATCATGCCAGATACTTTACATATAAAAATAATAACAACCACAACAACTTATATGGCATTAATATGAGCCACTTTTTAAAGTGCTCATCATATATCGACTCATTTAATCCTCATTTAAAAACACTTGTGCTGTAGAAACTACCGTTATCGCCATTTTATAGATGAGAAAACTGAGGTACAAAGAGGTTAATTTGCCAAAAGAAATACTGCCACTAAGTGGGACAGAAAGGCCGCAGGCTGTGTGAGCAATTGAGTCTCTACACTATATGCTGCTTCTCAGGATATGACTGTCTCATTTCATCCTTTCCACAACCTAGTAAATACCATTGTTATTCCCATTTTCCAGATTTGGACCCAAAGGCAAAACATGTAAAGGCCCTCTCTCAGTTCCCACAGCTAGGAGGTAGCGGGGCAGGATGCGACTCACACTGGTGCCTCCCGGGAGGCTCGTGAGGGGGTCCACCCAGGCCCAGCTGCCAGCCTCCAGCCTCACAGGGAGCGTGTTACTGCCGGGCGGCTTCCTGATGTCTGTCCTGCCCTGCTGTTGCTCAGGTGTTCCTGAAGAGCGACCGCGTGGCCCGCATGGTGCAGAGTGGAGGCTGCTCCGCCAACGACTCGCGGGAGGTCTTCAAGAAGCACATCGAGAAGAGGGTGCGCAGCCTGCCCGAGATCGACGGCCTCAGCAAGGAGACCGTGCTGAGCTCCTGGATGGCCAAGTTTGATGCCATTTACCGCGGGGAAGAGGACCCCAGGAAGCAGCAGGCCCGGATGACAGCCAGCGCAGCTTCCGAGCTCATTCTGAGCAAAGAGCAACTCTACGAGATGTTCCAGAACATTCTTGGGATCAAGAAGTTCGAACATCAGCTCTTGTACAATGCCTGCCAGGTAAGGTGTCTGTCACCTGGGCCCAGAGCTGTGAGTAAAGCAGGGCCACATGATGATTTCTGTGTGCCCTAGGCATCACTGCGTTCGTGTGCGATTCTTGATTAAAAAAAATATTTTTTATTACATCTTATAGCTGCATTGGTAAAAGTTGAATATAATCTAGGCTAGAATATATTCAGGTTTTTCTTCTGATTTTTAAAAGAAATTTAAATGTTTTGTGAGCTCCTAAACATCTCACGGACCCTGGGTATTATGTGTATTGTGTCTAAGGGGTCAGTTGGCCCATGTGTGGAAAGTGCCAAAAGATCAAAATGATGTTTGTTTGTTTGTTTGTTTGTTTTAAAGATTATGTGCCTTTAAAATAGGTGGTATTTACAGGTTGAAGGGCTTGTATTTCCTCATTTGGGGAGACAGCTGGACTTAGCACCTGGTCATCAAGTGAAATTATTTAAAACAGAAAGCTTCCAGAACACCTGAGTTTGTCATACCCGTATGGTAGTCACGTCTAAATTTCTGAGATGGCTGTAGCTGAGGCTCCACTTGGGCCCACCCCAAAAATGAAGGTACATTTTCTCTGGATCACAGTTGGGGGAGTGAAGTACCCTAGATCTTCATTGCCTGTGACCGTTTCCCCGTTTCATTTCTTTGTTCACCCACTATTTATTATGTGCCTACTTTGTAGTCTTTGCAGATTTTATTGAATGTTGCTTGGGAGCATTTTTAAAAGGCACATTTGCAGCCCACAGCCCTAGATTCCAGTTCTGCATGCTCAGGGTAGGGCCCAGGAATCTGCATTTTAAACAAGGGCCTCCCTTCCTGGTAATTTTGCTGCCCTTTGCCTTTTAAGAACCATTATAAAAATTCAGCTGCGCCCCGGTTTCCCTGCACCAACTCTGCCCCTAAAGTTGGTAAAGTGAAGACACTGCAGTATACTGGTTAAGAGTTGTTCCTTGCTCAGAATCCAGCAGACCTATAGGTAAATCTTAATATGGCCCCTCACTAGCTTTGGGGCCGTGGGAGTCAGTTAACCTCCCCATATATGAACTTGGGATGCAACTGTTATGAGAATTCATGTGTGTAAAGCCCAGAGTAACATGGGGCACTTTATAAATGGTAGCAGTTAAAGTACATTATAGTCTACTGGAAGAGGCAAAAAGTCAACAGACAACATCAGAACGGTGCCATAAATGTTTTTTTTGTTTTTTAATTTTTAATGTTTTAAAATTTATATTGGAGTATAGTTGATTTACAATGTTGTGTTACTTTCTGCTGTATGGCCCAGTGAATCAGTTATACATATACATATACGTATATCCACTCTTTTTTAGAATCTTTTCCCATATAGGTCATTACAGAGTATTGAGTTCCCTGTGCCACACAGTGGTCCTGTTATCTATTTTATATATAGTAGTGGGTATTTGTCAATCCCAATCTCCCAATTTATCCCCCCCTTCCCCCTTGGTAGTTTGTTTTCTCAGTCTATAACTCTGTTTCTGTTTTGTAAGTAAGTTCGTTTGTATCCTTTTTTTTTAAGATTCCACATATAAGTGATATCATATGATATCTGTCTTTCTCTGTCTGACTTACCTTCACTTAGAATGAGAATCTCTAGGTCCATCCATGTTGCTGCAAATGGCATTATTTCACTCTTTCTTATGGTTGGGTAATATTCCACTGTATATAAGTAAATGTTTAATATAAGAACTACAGGATTTTGAGGCTTCCTTATTCCTGCCTCCATGGCTACCCCCTAATTCAAGACACCCGCATCTTTTACCTGGATGACCAGTGTCTACCCAACTGGTAACCCTGCCTCCCTTCTAGCCCCATGGTAATGCACCCATCACACGCCAACTCAAGTGATCTTTTAAAATTGTAAATTGGATCATGACATTTCTGTGCCTAAAACCTTCTAGGGGCATCCCATCACCCCTAGAATGATATTCCAACTCGTCACTATGGCTTGAGGAAGAACAGGAATCAGCCCCGATCATACCACTTTCCCTGCGTGCTTACTCACTGGCCTTCTTTCTGTTTCCCCAACACATCAGATTGGTTCCGGGCCTTTGCATTTGCTCTTCCCTCAATTTAGAATGCTCTTTTGCCAAGACCTTTGCATGACTGGCCCAGCTTAAATGTCAACTTCTCCAAGAGGTTTTCCAAGATCACCCCATCCAAAGTTCCCCCTTGCCACACACCTCATCAAGTCATTCTCTTTACCATTCCCCTGTCCTAGTTTTATCAAAGCCGTTACCACTATTTTCCACTTCTTGTTCATTTGCTTTTATCTATTTATTATCTGTCTCACCCCCCCCCCTGCCCATCTTTCACCAAAATGTTGGCCTCATCAGGGTGGCAGTTCATCTCTGCCTTATTTGCTAATATTTCCAATGCATGAAAGAATTCTTGGCACAGAGTAGGTGTTCAATAAATGCCTATTGAATTAATAAATGGATGATGGCAGTTTGTTTTACCTGGTTAGTAGGGTCTTATCAACCATTGTAGCTGACCCAGAAATTTCTGGATGTTTTACTAAATAGGAATCTGTTTAGCATTTCATAATATAATATATACATTACATTCAAAGGAATTCCTGACACCCTCCTTTCTTCTCAGCCCACTCCAATTCAGAGCACTTATCGCCTACCTGAAGGTAGAGAGTTTCTGTGATGGGCCAAGAAGTATTTTGAAATTCTCAAATAAGTCTCAATATGAAATTAAATTTAATTATTCTTTTTAATTAAAATGGTACTGCATCCCATGTGGCACTTGTAGAATAGGGGAAACAGGTGGCATTACCATCCATCACCGCCATCTTCTCTACCGTAAGAAGATGGGTTGTCATAGCTTCAAAAAGATTGACAATCACCCAGCTGGGTGATAAGTAATACTCAAAATTACAGTTAGTCAAGTGTTCCTAAACCTGCTAGGCATAAAGTGATTCTAGGAATTCATTTTGCTTCTTATTGCAGCAGCTAGCTTATCATGCAAATATTCTGTTCTTGCTTAGACATCAGCGTCATTGGAAAGAGTCTGTTGCTATGCCATTCTTACCTTGATGGCTTTGAACTTGTTGAATAGGGTTAAGAGGCAGCACCTTATTTTGCTCTTTTCTCATAAAAAATGAATTAATTTGACTCATATTTTCAACATCTGTTCTATGAGTTAGAAAAAATATAATAATAGAAAAGAATCATGCCCTCTCTCCCCAAAATAATGATTGTCCCCTGAGTTAAGAGAGAATTATAAGAAATATAAAGGTAAGTACTTCTTGGGACAGGAATACTTAAGGCATTTCTTATTATATTTTATACTCACACCTACATCTGATTATTGCTTCAGTGGTTCAGCTTAGTAGAAAATAGGACAAATAGCATATGAAGAAGAAAAAAAACCCAGAAATTAATTCTAAATACATGATTATTTTTAACTTCCATGTCTTTAGTCATCTGAGTTATACAATTGTATTGACAAACACCAGAAATATTTTAAAAGAAATATAACATTGGTAATAATAATACATTACAAATGTTATAGAGTTGGGTATTCTCATAACTTACTGGTGGAATAATTTATTATGGTAAACTTTCTGTAGAATAATCTGTTAGTTTGCAGCAAAACCCCTTTATAATGGGCAAACCATTTAACCTGGCAGCTCTCCCTCTAGGAATTTGTTATAAGGAGATACTTAGAGATGTGTACAAGAGTATTAAGTCCAAAGATGTTCATTGCAGCATTTTGTATGACAGTGAAAATATGGAAGCAACTTTAATTCCCAGCAGGAGGAGATTAATTACCTAGATTTTGATTTAACTGTATGAGAGAATAATCTTCAGCCAGTAAAACAGCTGAAGAAGACAGCTTACCACATGGGGAAATGTTCATGACATATTTCTCAGTGGAAAATCAGGCTATGAACCAGAGTGTGAAGACATAATCCCACTTTTATGGAAAAAGTACTGGATGGGTAAAAAAATAAAACCTTCACTATGCTTATCTTTAGGGATAGCATTATGGTTGATTTTCATGGTTTTCATTTGTGCTTTTCGGCGTTTCCAAATTTTCTGGCTTAAGCACGTATGTATTTTGTAAATAGAAACAAATAGCAAAAATCTCAACAAAGAAACTATCAAAACAATGGGATAAGAAGAAAATTATACTCAGCATTGTATTCTAGACTTCAGCCATTAGTATACCACCTTGATGATTTTTTCCATTTCCAAGTACTACATGTGTGATTATTTATTTAATATTCCTAATTAAGCCAACTCCTAACTCACTTTTTAAGCCTATCTTTATTCTTAGAAGTAATATACGTGAAATCACAGCTTTGGTGTACTAGATCTTTTTAAACAATAGGCATTAACGTGAAACATAGCCATTAAAATAGAAGCTGTTCATTAGCCTTCCTCTTACATCATCTCACGCCACCAGTGATACAGGAGACATGGCTATGGTGACCAGGGCCTTGAAATACTGACGTCGGTAGGATAGATCCCTCTCACGCCATCCCTGAAAACAGTCCCAGACTGACGAGAACAGATTTCACCTGAAGTCTGTACTTCTCACACCCTGCAATCAGGTTTCAGAAATCATAGATTTACTCACTCGCTTTCTCAGAGATTACACTCAGCTCTGCAGAATTCGATCCACTTGTAGGGGCAAAGATACAGAACTGAAAATCGTATGCCTTACGTTCATACCCTGCTTGTATCCGTTTTTCTTTTGTTTTATATTTTCTGGTCCTTCTCCTTACAAGACAGAGTAGTTCATAGGTGCTTCCAAATCCAGAAATGCGCATGGTTCCTTGTACGCATATTGCATTTTAGGGGAAAGTGTAATCTGATTTCTGGTGCAGCTTTCTGATGGTTCCTATGATCTCTCTATGAGGTGCTGCTGGGAACTGCAGTTTTTAATCTCAAATGAGAAATGATGTTTAACAAAGAGTGATTCTATCACTTAGCATATCAGCTGTCTGTTATAACATGAACCATGTCTAT